GCACTCAGTGGAGGAGGTACCCGGCTGTTCTCCCAGTCCCCTCATACATACACAGTCACTCACTCATACATTCCCCACAAAGTTAGTTAAAAATTACAAAATACAATGACAATAATAATAAAAGTGGGTACAAACCTCAAGCATACATCACATATATACCACATACATATCCCATACAAAGAAAAATAAAAAAATTGCGCAGATGTTAAAAAATACAAAGTGCATATAAAGTTTGTGGCAGAATCACAAAAGTCCGGTCTGCCAAAGATGTGGAAAAAGGCAAAGTCTGAGTGGCTAAGTGGTGTCCCTGGGGCGGCAAGAGGTAATGCTGGTCAAACAGATGGAATTAGTTCGTAAGTCTAGAAGCCCAGGGGCTGCGGCTGCAGGAAGGGTGGGTAAGTGCCAGTTAAAAAGGCGATGAGGACGACAAACCAGTGAGAGGAAGGTAAAGAAGGCACCAGTCAGGGCCAGCAATGGTGGCCACTGGAGGGAGTCTAGACCCCAGGCGCGCTGCCTCTCCAGAATAATGGCGCTAGGAATGAGATGGTCCAGAAAATGGTGCTGTCTGATGCAGCACTCCTGAGGCAATAGCAGCAGCAGATGACACTGGCCACAACAGAAGACCAATAGTCTATAATGGCTGGGGTAGTTGCAGATGGGAGGGGGGGAGGACATAAGTACCAGTTTGAAATAGGAGGCAAGTTCGTAGCCTCATCCCCCCTGCTTCTCGTTGTTTGTCCAAAAGAGGGCCAGTCGAAGGAGAGCAGCGTGCAAGCCCCGCAGCGGCAACAACCCAGGAAAGCAAGAAGAAAAAAGGGGGGGAAGGCTTGGAAGAACTGTGGCGATGGCAAGGCCCAGCCTCCCACTCCCGACCCACATAGTTACAGCGCTTCACCACCCTCTCCTCGGAGCAGGGCAAAGCGCAGACCACCACTCCACAATGTCCAGCCCAAGTCCAAATCCAACAAGTCCAGCAGACCCAGTATAGATTAAAAGAGAAACCTCTCTCCAGCGCAGCTAAAGGGTGCCCGCTGACCAAGCGCCGCCGCCGCCCACAGAATGCCGCCGCCACCGCCAGCCAGCCAGGGAATATAAAAGACATGAGAGCACTGTCCAGGGGCCGCCCAAATGCGACCCCCCAGGCACTCGCTGCCCCAACGCCGCCGCCGTGCGCAAAATGGCGCTGCCACCGCCGTCAGTCAGCCGAGGCACGGAAACACCATCCAGGGGCCGCCCGGGAGCGCCCCCCTCCAGATGACCGTCTGCCTGGCTCGTCTGATGGCCGGTCTCTCGCAAGGGCTCCTCTTTTTCGCAAACCGAAGGCTCCATCCTAAGCATTTGAGTGTTTTCCGCTCCTCGCAGACCCGAGCGTTCGGCTCGGGCAGCCATCTTATAATTAGATTATAAAGTGACCCTAAAGTGAAAAATTAGCAGTATTGTATGTGGTATGGTCTAATATTGTATGTTATTGAACTGTATTTTTTATTTTAAAAAATCATGTGGCTTTGTTTAGCTTTATCAGGAAAGAATCAGACTTGTAAGCCACTGGTTTGACTTGTGGACAGACAAACAACGCAAGCAATTTCTCTTCTTGATATTGAACCAGTGCAATAAGTCACAGCTGAAGTAAGTGAGCCACTTGCTTTAGTTTAGTACTATGCTTTGTGAAAATAAAAAGTAGATTATGCAAGGGCACCTTCTATAATATAAATTATTTACTGCACCATTGTTTGCCTTTTCTGGAGCCCAATCCTATAATTAGCTGGAACTCATTGAGATCTCCCAAACAGAGATCTAGAAGTACTAATTCTTATAAAATGTGGATGTACAAATTTGATGGACCAAAAGGCGTATTTCCAACCTTTGGGATCTAGATTTCAAAAAAACCTATTGGTGCTAAGGCAGAAAATTATTTTAAATTAATTT